TCTACTACAATTGATGCTAATTTTCTTCAATTTACCAATGTGAATGCTTCGCTTGTCACCGACTAAAAATGTGAGAGTTTGTCAGCTAAAGTAACTCGAAGTTGAAAGCTCTGGAATTTCTCTCCTACAAAAACGTTCAAACCCTAAATCAAATCATTCGACTGCAATGCCGATCATTCTATCTTGGAACGTTTAAGTTCAAAAGCAACACATAAGGAGCAAATCATCTTCAGTCATCGGAATTTCACCACTCACCTTGGGACAATATCCCCACCATTCTTTAAGATCTCAATGCCTTCAACTTCTCTAAACAACTGAAATTTTATTGACTGTCTGAACAACATTCTGAAAACTTGTATTGCCGGATTTTCTCCATTCTGTTATACCATGGACACAACCCTTCTCTATGAATTCTGTATTCTCTCAACATCCATAGAAACCTTACAATGACTGGAGACTGACTAGAAAACTGTCGGTTACTTCAGTCTCCAGACTCAAATGTACATTATTTTTCTGTCCTTTTATTTATATAATTACTCTTGTAAAATTGTAAATGTATTAGTAAATACAGTTACTGTTGTTGCTGTTGTTCACGGTAGCAATCCTGTCCCCGAAAACCGCGGGCCGCGCATGCGTTTTGGCTATAAGTATCCTAAAAGGCGCTAGCTGAGTTTTGCAATTTCTCACGAGAGCAGAGAGCTTTCCTTTAATTACGTTTCATCATTTGATCATAGCTTATCTTTTCTTTGCAGCGTTGTGAGACCATATTTCTTTGTTCATTTTAAAAATCACTGTAATTTGTGTAGTGACCCCAGATGCCTGTCGACATTGCTTCTCAATCGATCCACTACATAAACGGTGGTAATACTACACAACGAGCGGTATAATTATGCCAGGTTCAACTTGACAACTACACCACGGTTGAAAAATTATAGTGGGAAGCGCGGTGGCCTACTGGCGCGGCCTACTGGCCGCCTGGCGCGTTTGAGAGATCTGGGTTTGAGAAATAGCCGGAGTTATTGTGTTATGTTCTTGCGCAAGACACTTCCCTCATAAAGTGGCTCTCTCTGTCCAAGACTCTAGGTTGATACCAGCGAATTGTAAAAACAACCAAGTAAAAGGTCAACTTGACTAAAATCCTTTACCCATAAAGGAGCTTTACAAAAAAGAAATACTTCTGACGTTTCATGCCATACAGAAAGCGGAAGAAGATTCAATATTGTGAGATTCCCAATCTTAACCATCAATATGTGGTCATTTGGTTTTTGATTATTTCTAAGTACTTCTTTGGTGTTTTTCTACCCTAGTAACCCGCCATTTGGAAGCTTTCCGATTTAAAGGTAATTTCGCACATTCTAAAAACGGAAAAACCTTCATTTATCGCGGAATAACCTCTTTGAACTAATCATCGATGAAGACCAGCACAAAAATCTTCCATCCTCCACGGGAAAATCCTTGATTCCACGCAAAATAATCTCCTTCGCAACCGAAATCATCAAACACAAAACTATGAATTTAACCCGTAACAAAGCAAACATATCAGATAAAATAAGTTGGGTGATATACATTTTAAAGACTATGCATTCCTGATATTATAGAAAGCGAGTATAACAAAACCAGAACGCAAATAAGAAATCGAGTCAAAACTAATTTTTCATGACTAGCAGCATATCGGTCAAGTTGCTAAAATTATGGCGATTTAGTGACAATGGCAACGCCTTGACGTTAAAGTTAGTGCAATAAAAGCCATCGTCATGTTTATTGGGGCTTCGGTTCGCTTGCGTCAACCCCTGCGTAACTTCCCAGCGTGTTTACGACCAAAACCAACGGAGTGAAAATTCGAGAACTGGCACGTAGGCCCAATGAAATAAGCCAAGATCTTCTCTACACCTGTATTATGAAATAAAAACCAGCTGATAAATATTAGTTCGACTGCTCAACGAGTAGTTGATATCCTTCACAGAACATTGAATGCGGGGAATTTTTATTTAAATGGACGAAAATGTCAAGTTGTTTACCAAAGTTGATTTTTATTATTTTAATCACCGCAGGAGTAGCGACTTTCCGCTCTTCCGGAAGAAACCACGAAGATTAAAAAGTGTTCGTCAAAAAACACTACACTCTTTTATTAAGTTCTTAATTCGCTTTAATCACGTACTTGGGTTCTCCCGTTCCGCTTTGCAAAACTTAAGTAAATTCGTCTGTCGTTCTACGGGCGTCATAACCTACAAACGTGCCTTTTAAAGCAAACTCTTAGCTTTTGTAATGATTAAAAGCAGGAGGCAGTTATTGCTAATAGGAAATTATTGCGAAATTATCGAAAATATAGAGCAACGTGATAGAAGAAAGAGAAGTCTTAAAATGGTTAAAACGCAGTAATGTTATTACATTTCCATATCACTGCAATACTTTGATGAAATTTCGTCACTTTATTGATTGTTATCAATGTCAATATCCGAAATTTCCCAATTCTGAATTGGTCTTCAACAATGGTCCTTAATCCTACAAAATGCATTTCCCAATACAACAGCACGTTTTCCGACATTTTGGGATTTAATGGAGAGGTGTGAATTACAGGAAAGCATAAAATTAAAATGAGTGCTCACCTCGCTCGTTGTAAACAAGACATATTTGCATAAACTGGTGTTTTTCACTTGCAGGTTTGGAAACAGCTTTTTCTAATTCAGATATTCTTAAAAAAGAACAGTTTCTATATACCACCATAAATAAGATTGGGTTGAAAAAATCTCGGGCTACCAGCTGAGACACCCGTTTCCAATTTAAGCTAATATGTAAGTCAAAATTTAAAATGACATCTCAAACAATATGTTTGCAAAGAATGTCAGTTAAAGCTCGATCTGTTCGCTATGACATTGAATTCGCTTCAGGGGAATATAATCACAAACAAAATCTTAAATCCAAGCGAATCAAAACAAGGCTTAAAATAAAAAATATCAACAAGAAGATGCTTGCTAGTGTTACCAATGAGCGCCATAAAAACCCACTTGCATTCACAGTTACAGATAACTCGGCGGTTCTGGACATGAAAATTTACGAACTAAGAATAATCGCCTTTTTTCGTCAGAAACAAAACCAAAATAACAATTCTTAAGATTAAAAAATCTCTAAATCATTGTTCAATCACGAGTATTATTAAAACAGTTAATAAAAACTCGTTAATTTTCTTGTCACGTATAACGGAAGAAATTTTCGACCTTCTACTTTCCCAAGACGTACTCTTATGAAAAGAAAAAGTCTGACCTTATAGAAATTAAGCTTAAATGTACGATTGCTTAAAGTACAAAATTGCCCTCGACAGTTGCCAAGAAAGAAATTTGCAATACTTGACGTCAAATAATTCAATACAAAATACTACCATAGACGTTTGAGTCTTGAAAGTTCACAGGTAAGGCGAGAAAAATTTTCTGCCCGATCGTACGTAACAATGAGTCGATGACAGAGAAAGGAAAGAAGCTACCGGACTTTTCACAAGAGTCGTTTGCGCTAGATAATGTACCTATAGGGAATCTACCAATACAAGACGGGCTTCACGCGCTGTTCATCTTCGAGAGTGTTACTTATCATCTCACTGTCAAATATGGCTCTCTCTTGTAGGGCTGTGTTTCGCAGAACCGTTCCTATGAGACTTTACCGGCGTAAAATTGCCACTAAACATCTGGTTCAGGTGGCAACAGCCAATCACAGGCGGCCGTTCGCGGTCACTCGACTCCGCTTGCATAATCCGGTCAAATATAATACAAACACCGGTAGAAGTATAGCGAGGGGTTTGAAAAAGAGAGAATAGAAAACACATTAACAGACCGGCAGGACTGCCGTACTACGTTTCGGTCTAATAACTATCCACCCTCGCGAGGCTTGGAAGAAATGAGCGGCAAATTTGAGCGGGAAAAAGCCGCCGCGCGCCAGCCGAAACCGCGGCAACGGCTTCGGCCGGAAAGAATGAAGCGTTTTAATGGTTTTATTTTTTCTCCCTCTCTCGAAAGAACAGTCGAAAGATGATTGGCAGCCAGCTGGCGGTCTCTAAGCACGTGGGTCGTGCAGTGACCTCTCAGTGTCACCTGTGTGTTTAATAAATCAACCCTATCGCTTCGAACGCCGGTGACACCTGTCTGCGAATATACCGCGTACAGATCAAAGCTTGCATCTGATTGGCTAAGGCCGAACGTCTCCAAAGCGACCATTTTGGACTCTTGCAAGCAGGTTGTTTCACAATCAACAGGTTGTTTTTTCTCTTGGGAAGGTAGCTTCGACCGTATATTTTCCAAACGCCATCTCTTTTTCTCACTCAAATTACTGTTATTTCAAAATGTCACAACAAAATAAAAGTCAAACTCAAGCGGAAAATCATGTATGGTGTAATAGCGAGGTGCGACACGGTCCCCAGACATCCGCCGGATCAACAAAACTCCCTGCCAACAAATTAGCATTATTAGATTTACATTAGCTTGGCACTTGGAGCGGAAAGGCGAATACAACTCTAATTGGTGCTGTCCGTGGGGACTTCTAGAGATTGAGATGGTAACACAGATAGCGAACTTTAATCTTGCGCTCGGCAGACATTACCAACAGAATCAGCGTAAATGATCCGGGAAACAGTCATAAACAAATTCCTCGTTGACTTTTAGTTCTATTTTGGGGTATCTAAGAAACCGGGGCCTAATTACCCTGCCTAGCTCATCGGCCTCCGCCCCTTCCTAACTTCCCACGGTAACTTCATTATTGGAAATCCGAATCGAACTTATCTTTGCTTATTTCACCGCCGACGCGCTTGTTCCGCTTGTTTGCCCCAAATTTTTCGACAGGCCTCTTGCCTGATGCAAGTAAGAAGCGGGTAAATTTGGAATTTCGTGAAGGCGAGTCACCAAGCTAAGGGACTACTCCGAAAAAAAAAACCTTTCGAGTGTGTCTTTCTTATTCAAAACAGTCCAAAATTAGATGCTAATATTCGCATGTTGTGACAATTCGCTAACAATCCCTTAGTGTTGTAAGTCATTACTGATGCGTCGTTCTATTGTTCCAAGCACGTGGCATGAATTCGAAACAAACTGGACAAAACTCATCTCGCTACTTCCACATTTAACGCGAAAACGCACGCACGGGATCGCGCGTACGAGGCAGACGTTGAGGAATTCGCAAACCGTGAAGGTAACTCGCAAACCCTCACGGACGATACCACGGTAATTTTCACTTGATTCCTGTGTTTTGATTATATTCGTGCCTCCGGCCGACACTTGGCGCGCAAACCCCATTTAAAAACACATAAGCAAACCGACTAAGGAGCCGTGGAACTAACCAATCACAAAGGTGCGCGGCGAATCGGGGGCGGAGCAACGAGCGGGTTTTGCTTCCCATCATTGGTTCTTTTGTGTTAGCGTGAGGTGACGTGTCACGGCGTCACAGAGAAACCAACGCAAATTCAAGTTGGACGTAAATTAAAAATAGAAATTGCCACGATCAGTTTAAGCTTGTCCACTCGCTGATAACGTGTCAAGCGCAACAGAACTCGAACTCCTACCGACCGTGAGATAGAAATATCGTGCACCTGTGGCTTCGACGACTCGTGTTTCGAACTGAAACCAACTGACTGGCTCGAACCACTGAACTTTGTCCGCGCTTGGTAGAATAGAGTATTTTAATTTTCCTTCTCGTACGAGTCACTGAAACGCGTTTGTAATGATGGTTTTCCAAGGAAGCGAGCTCAATTCGCCAAGCCCGCCGCCTCAAGTTCCCACTGTAGACGAGCCCGAGGAAGAACCCAAGAAATCGCTTCAGCACGTCAAACGCCCCATGAACGCGTTCATGGTTTGGAGCCAGATCGAGCGCAGAAAAATGGCAGAAGAGCACCCCGATATGCACAACGCCGAGATCAGCAAGCGCCTCGGAAAGCGCTGGAAACTGCTGTCGGAGAGCGAGAAGAGACCGTTCGTAGAGGAATCGGAGCGACTTCGCATTAGACACATGCAGGCTTATCCAGATTACAAATACCGTCCACGCAAGAAGAAGCAGCCTAGTAAGCAGAAGAACAACGCTGGTGGACAGGAGGGGAAAACTTCATCCTCTACGGAAGGACACTCGAGAAAGAACCTCCCCGAGGCAGTGGGTACGAAGCGTGAGGCACTGCCCGGCGCGCACGCATTTCCTGGACTGGGTTCTTCCAAGAAACACGCTAGTTCTCTGGGAGAGCAGCCAGCGTTTAAGAAACAACGCCGCGACTTCGTTTCGCCAATCACCCCGCCGCCGAACGTGCCCGATGCGATCGGAACAACACCAGAGGATCCCATTGATCAGCTATCCTTGTACGACGACTTCGAACAGGCGTTCAAACAGGATCAGCAGGTCCCTGTGAGCGTGAATCACAGCCAACAGATTCCGAACTCGTGGCCAAGCTTAGAATTTGGCAACGTGAACTTCAACGGCTTGCCTGTCTCGCCATTACTTGATCTGAACGGAGCAAATGGCGGCCAATTTGATTTTCCCGATCTCTACACTCCGCCAGAGGTTTCAGAGCTTATTCAAAGCCAGTGGCTTGAGAACTCTCTAGGGCATTTGTAGCTGATTGCAATTTTCGCCGTTCAAGTATTAACTGGTGGAAGGACACTGCTTTTGACTTGTGGAATTTCCACTTCATGCGATTTTTATAAACACTGAGACATTTCCAGGATCTTGTTTGGACCTTCGACTTTTCTAACCGCTATGGACACGCTTTTCTGTGTATATTTTTTTCGACCGAAGAAGTTTATTTCGTTTTTTTGTATCGACGGATGTATTCTCGTTTTAGAGAGCTTTTATTACGATAATTGTACAAAAAAAGGATTCTAAATAATTTAATAGTTCCCTGAAGTGTTGTATTTTTACTAAATTTCTCTCTTTCCTCGGCCTGAGGAGCGTGTTTTAAAGTGAATTGAAATTGAAGAAGAGAAAATTATAATACCATTATTATGAAAATTTAAACTCCGTGTGTTTATTCTTCTCACGCGCGCGCGCTAAACACGCATGGCAACCTCGCGCACAACTGTTTAAAAAACCGAGTTGCGAAAGCCAAATAACTGTAATCTTTACTGAGACGTCAATGACTGTTTCGCGTTTTCGCCTGCAATAGAAAATTCATGACTGCCGCAAAAATTGCAACACGGTGTTTAGTTAGCTGCTAGCGTTCTACGCATCGTTGAGCAAACTGAATTTTTTATGACGGTGGAATAGAACTTGCGGCGGGTAGTTTGAGTTAGGTTACTTGTATTCTAAGGGGGGAAGAGAAAAACAAATTAATACTATATTATGCCAACGTGGTATTATTGCGCCGATGAAAATCGAGAGTTTTCGACGAGGAAAGATAGCGCGTCAGTTGTCATTTTGGGCGGGGTAGGACGCTAGTGCATCTGTTTTTTGACTGCATATTTTAAACGGAGCTTTCCAAGGCATTTAAATTTGAATCAGAGTTGATTAGCTGGTCAGGATAATCCGCCTTAAACGTATTCTACGGATGGGAGTTCACGAGGTTGAATAAACGGTTTAGAGAGCGCGCGATTTCGTTTCCTAAAATGATATTTGATCTGTTGAAGGAAGCTTTGGGTTTTTCCCTGCTAAAACGTGTCCACTTAGCGCCGCCATAAATATTTTATGTGATCGTAATGGACCATGGAGGCTAGGTGCAGATCACGAGGTTTGATTTCAAATAAAAAAACAACAATCTCATCAAAACTAACAGCTCGCGCGCAAGCACAGCCAGCGTGCAGAACACGCAAGCGTATTTCAACACAGCCGCCTGCACAAAATAATAAAAAAAACCCAACACGAGGTAGTGTTTACCTATTTTCAAATACAAAATTATGCCTCGTGCGTATTTCCTCCAGCGGATATTGACGTATTCAACTGCTAATTTGCAGCCATTTGGAGCGAAAAAAAGAAAAGATCTCGTGGGGACACGAATTAGCGTGTGTTTGCAGTGGACGCGAAACTCCGCTTTTCAAATGTTGGCTTTCGCAAGAGCGGCCATACAGCAAGGCACGCGTCAGAACGTGCCTCTTTGTTCTCCGACCAATCAGAGAGCCGCTTTCAGACAATCGTCAACAATAACAAAACAATGGCTGGCGCGTGCGGTCAAAATTCCACCCGTCGATTGGTTGATCCGCGCTGATCGCACATGCCGATTGTAAATTGCAATGTCGCGGGGTTTTCCTGTTTACAAATGCGCCACTTTGCACGCTACCTGAAGTGACTATTATTTGCTGTTATGACCGATTCCAGCAACTTCGTTCTAAAACGTATAGGAACGTACGATCTGACTGGAAATCGGCTGGGCAAGGGCAACTTCGCCTACGTCGAGTTAGCCACGAATCGCATCACCAAAACCAAGGTTTGTCCATGGATTGCCTTTTGATTTCAAAGCCAGCGACATATGATTGTTCAGTGGCTTAATTACAACTATTGTTACGCACTGTGGGTGTGGAGATTGGGCATTATTCAATGGTTTAATTACTCGGGGTGCGTTGTTTTATTATTGAGTATTTTTTGTTTTTCCGCCGATTTAACTCAGCTTGGTAATAATAAATCTGTCTCCTAGGTAGCGATGAAAGTCATAGACACACGTAAAATCAAAGATGAATACGTCAGGAAAAACATCCTACGCGAAGCGCTGCTCCTGAAGAAAGTCAATCACCCCAACATTGTCCGATTGTACGAAACCCTCAAACAGCACTCTATTTACTGCATCGTGACCGAATATGTTCCCGGAGGCGAGTTACTGAGCTATTTGCGTCGGCAGAATGACTCGAAATTGAGCGAATCACAGGCCAGGCCGATCATGAGACAGCTCATTTCCGCGTTGTACCACATGCATCAAAGTGGAATCGTTCATCGGTAAGAACAAAATTGCTTCGAAATAAAGAGCTAAATTTAGATGCATACGGTCTACACCGCGTGGGTTATTTTTCTACATTGTAATAATCAGCGGTTGAGGTTGCTAAGAGATTTAAAAAAAACCTAAAAGCGCTTGTACAATTTTACTACAAGAGAGAAAGACTTTGTAAACTTGCACAAAAAGTTGCACCTTTAAGCTAGCACCACGTTTTTTTTTTTTCTTTATTTTTACATTTTGTAGTTTTATTTTTATGATAATTTGCGGTCAAAGTCGCTTGGAGATCAAAGACAAACGAAAAAAATGCCCCTTTTGAAAGAGAGTGAGAAGAAATCTCTTCTTTGGCTGACAGTAAACATTCCACTTCGAATTTTGGACGCTAGTTCACAAGACAAATTTTGCAGCCGGGCAAAGCTAAAATCGCTTGCGCAATTATGAAGGTATAAAATGTGCCGGAGAAGATGTCAAAAGTACGGAATTCACTTTGAACGTAACAAGAACTTAATTTTCCCTGGTGACGTATTTTCAATGCCTGTTTCCCTCGCCATTAGCACTCGGAAAAGCACAGAATAGCTGCATTTATTTTGTGTCATATCACACTCTCTGCTTTTGTTGCGTTATTTGCTCCCCTCTGAATACATTGCGGTAATTAATTACATAGCTTACGGCTGTTTCTGAGCGACTGAATAAATTACCGTCTCCAGGATGTTTGAGAGGCACAGTAATCTGCGATAAATGTTGAAGGAAACTTATTCCCTCGTTCTTTAGACTTAATATCAGCCTGATTTTGATCTTGATCTCCTTCATGAACAAAAAGTAAAAATTAACGACTGAAAGAACGGAACGGAAACCTCGGCTAAGCCTTTCACACTTAGAAGAAATATTACAGTTCTGTATATTTCAGCGATTACAAAAGTTTTCAAACAATAACATTAAAAGCGGTTCTTTCCTGCTCTGTTTTCCCATTGCGGAAATAAAGGAAAAACTCAAAGTGTATTTCAAGACACAACAATCGATGTATTCACAACTGTACATGATGACTTCCGAAACTTTTAGACGCAAGCTCTTCAAATTCTCGCGTCGACTTTGATCATTATTTAGCCAGCTGCCGTTCGCTTTTCATCCTTCTTTTATGATGGCGAAATGTATTCATCTTTGAAGGCTTAAATCTCCCTGCTTCTTGTTATTTTGTCTGACAATTGGGAGATAAAATTAATGACTCTGTTAATGCCTAAATTTAAGAAGCCATCTGGCCGCCTATCTCCAACTGAGTCATAAATAATTGACAAAATTTTTTCCAAGTGAAAAATTAAAAAAACACTTAACGAAAGCAACAAGTGTGTAGAATTATCACGCTTGTTTTGAAACACGGCTAGCCATTCTTTTAATTCAGAACACGTCGTATCTGAAAAAATACTCCGATCGAAGGCTTGTGGCACTAATTTCTGAGTTCATCAGCGCGTTCGGAAGCGAAAACTCGAGAACCAAAATAACGACTGATAAAAACCGTCAACAGAAAAAAAATGCATATATTCATGTAATCAAAAAAACTACACAAACGAGAAAATTTCTCAATTGTTTTCGTGCAAGCAAACAGCGGCAAAAGAATTTACTGTTGTACGAAGAGAAAAGAGTTACTGTAGTTGAAGCGAACAATAACTAACTCGTTGAGAAACTGTGTTTAGTAACATCTTAAAAAGAGACGTACGAACGGAACTGTGTTTATACCAAGTAAATTGTGAATTATTCATACCCGAAACTGAGCCTTTTATTATCAGTTGATATATTAGAGACCACAGCTGTCAATCACTTTTAACATGTGTCAATCAAACAGCCTTCTCTTAGCCTGACACACCCAACTCAAACAGCTTGAGCCACACCTTAACACGAATTTACAAGAACTGTGCAGCTTGTGGCATGCGTTATTCGTCTGGAAAAAATATGAAGTTTTTAAAGACTCGTGAAGAGAGATTTGCCAAAAATAAATTGTTCAAGAAGCTGCTAGTGACATATAGGAAGCATGTCACGTTAGTTAAAGAGTAATGGCAGGGGAACTGCCCAAAAAAACTGAATATATCTTAGGATGTCTCGATTTCGTGAACCAAAGTTTTTATTTTTTAAGTGCACGGATTAAATTAAATTCGCTGCCTTTGAGTTCGAGGAATATTGATTCTGGAGTTTTGTTTCGGAAAGCATTGCATGATTTTTATTTGTGAGGTCTATTATATATTTTATAGATTTATAACTTAGTACATGATTGCCTTTTTCATATATGTGTGCAAATTAAATGATAATTTATGTTTGTTAATTTTATTTATTTATTTATTTATTTATTTATTTATTTATTTATTTATTTATTTTAATTTTTCATTTATTTTAGCAGGACCCTGTTGATAACAGTGCAGCTTTACTAGAGGGGTTACCCTGTAAAAATATTCGTTTATTATATTAATATTACTATTATTAATAGAATACAGATCAGAGAACTGGGAAGGATTTTGCAATCCACTGTACAGCGCTTAAGATAGCTCAGCTGTGAAATTTATGGCGCATCTTTCAGCATGTATCAACCTCTGTATTTCATGTTTAACTGCTAAGCACTTGCACAATTTTAGACAGATCTTTTTCCATCTCACAATTTCTGAAATATTAGGGTTTGCTTAACATGTCAGGAGGCGCGGTGGCCTCATGGTTAGTACACTCCCCTCCGGATTGAGCGGTCCAGGTTTGAGCCCTGGCCAGGGACCTTGTGTTGTGTTCTTAGGCAAGACACTACTCTCACAGCGCCTCTCTCCACCCACGTGTACAAATGGGTACTGGCGAACTTAATGCTGAAGAAACCCTGCAATGAATTAGCATCCCATCCAGAGGGGACTAGAAATACGCCTAGCCACTCCATGCAACAGAAACTGGAGATAAATGCCAGCCTGATGGGCCACTTAGCTCTTACGCAAACTTTACCTTAACATAATATGAAAACCTTTCACTGCCACGTTCAAAACATTTATTCTTGTAAACATTTGTCATACATACCATATAGTCTTCATTATGTGAATTTGCCAGCACATTTTGACAATATCAAACAGTTGATGATTGTTGTTATTCTCATTTCTTTTCTGCTTGGTAACTTATTAATATTGCAATGAGAAATTAACTGCTGATCAATGGAAATTCAAAATTTAACAATATCAAGGACAATAATTATAACTTTGTTACATACATACGTTATTTTGAACTCTCAGGGGAAACAAAAAATAGTTTGAAATAGCCGATAGTAATGACTGAAGGGCTGATCCAAGGAAATGGTTTTGAGTTCAAAATAATGGGGAATTTGAAATAACCGAGTTTGAATTAGGCGGGTCCAACTGTATTATATTTGATTTTTTCCCCCAAATTTATAAATAAATATATAAATATATTCCCACCCCCCACCTTTGCATAGCATGTTAGTCCATTGCAGGGTTTACCCCAGAATTTAATTTGCTGGTACCCATTTGAACACCTGGTTGGAGAGAACTGTGAGAGTTTTAGTGTTTGGGTGTGAACACAACACAATGAACCTCAAGCCAGAGCTCAAAACTGAAATGCATGATCTAGAGTCAGCAATTGCTAACCAAATAAGCCACTTTGTCTGCCACTACAAATTACATGCTTATAAGTTACTCTGTCTGTAACAGTTTGTATGATAATGAATAATTATAATCCCCTCCAACTCAATAGAGTTATAATTACAATTAAAAATGTAATAATATTTTGTATTTGAATTGAGAAAATAAAGATGTTGTTGGTGTTGTCATTATTGTTATAACTGCATGTATCAATAACCTGCATCACCAAATGTAAGATTAACTGATTGATTGACTAACTGACTGACTGACTGACTGACTGACTGACTGATCGACTGATTGACTGACTGATTGATTGACTGACTGACTGACTGGATGATTGACTGATTGATTGATTGATCGATCGATCGATCGATCAATTGATTGATTGATTGATTGATTGATTGACGAAGCTTATAACAAATCCTGCATTTATCTTTTCAGAGACCTCAAAATGGAAAATATTCTTCTTGATGAGAGTAAAAAGAACATCAAGATAGTTGGTAAGAAAATGAATAGACAACATTGACAGAATTACACATTTGATTTAATTTGCATATGTTTAAAATATCCCTGTAATTAGACCTTCTCTTTGCTGCGGGGGAAAGCCACAGCATCTAAATTTTCCTCCTGCCTAAGCTGCTTCAGTTAAAAAGTGTTTTACTTGCGTAAACTGTAGAAAAAGTACTCCTCTCTAGGTTTTATTTAAAAAGCCAAACTTCAGATTCCTCCACAATCTCTTAGTTATACTTCTCAAACTCATTAACAATTCATCAAGTCAAAACAAAGAAATTACAACTGTGAAGTTAAGGTCAGGTTTGGATACCCAGTCTTCAATAAGCATAGATTTTGACGATTCTACTTCTCTGTTTTCTCCTTGGTTTTTGTTTTGATTTAGAAGATATATCAAACACTCAAGACAGTGTTTCACTGACTATCCAAACACCTTGAATTTTGTCAAAAATACTCCCCTGTGCATCGTATTTTTCACTCTCTTCTCAGCTTTTGGATATTCCTATGAAACACTGTCTCTCACATTTGATACATTACTTCTAAGTGACGTTTATGACTCAAATTATGCTTGACTCCAAAAGAGAAAGGATAACTATAAAAAAGGTTAAATTAATACTCTCCTGATGTATGTTCTCATTCCTTGTCACTGACCTTTTCTATCACTGTAATTTGTCTCCTCCATTCCTTGCAGACTTTGGTCTCAGTAACATCTGTCGCGGTGATGACCTCCTCAGGACCCAGTGCGGCTCCCCAGAGTATGCTGCCCCAGAACTGTTCAGGCGTGGCTGCCGATATGGGACAGAAGTTGATTTATGGAGTCTGTGAGTATTTGTAGATAGACAAAACATTAATCAAAACTCCAGTGACAGATACCCAGGGTGAAGGAAGAGGTATATTTGATAAGAGAGTGATGGCAATCCACAAGTTTTTTTCCCTGTGATTGTGGTCAATTTCTTATTGAATTATCCAGCTACTATTGAATCCAATTATTGGAGAGTGCTATTGTCTATGAAGGGTGGGTGAGTTGTTTGGTTCAAATGATTACCTACTAGGATATAACTCTTACCTGCAGCTTGAATTTGTAAATAGAAAATTCCATCCATGGATTTTTCTTATTTTGCTGAACCCTTTCACATCCTTTTCAAATTAGGCCCCTACCCTATCCCCACCCTAAACAGGCTCAAGACAAATATTTACAAACAAACAAAAACCCATAACCCATTTTTTACAGGATTAACAATAAGCTGTATTGACTCCAGAAATTCTGTTCCTGTATCTATATCTCATTAACCAAGCGCAAGGGCTGTTCTGGGAGAATATGAGCTTGAGGTCTTGACAGACTACAGACAGAGCACAGTGAGGCCAGTACAAAAAAGACCAAGAACCGATATTCTCCTAGTACGATCTTAAGCAAGCCTGGTTAATAAGTGATTTATTACACAACTGAAAATGTTTAGAAAAAAAATGAAGGTCATAGGCTGGAAAACATCATAAACTTCAAGCGTGCAATTTTGACAAGGAGCTGGCTACGTGTATAGTCACCTTTGATGCTGAACAAAACAGAAGGGAAAGTAAGTTCCGTTTGTGTAAAAGCAAGTTCTTTCAGAAACAAAAGCCACAAAACCACCGGAAAATCTGCGAGAGTGATTGTGTGGAGTCATTTGGGGCATTGCCCAGTCGAATACTTAGGGAATATTGGACCAGCAATAAAGCAATCCGATTCCTTCATTTTAGTTATTGGCCCTCTGAACTCACTTAGTTGTGTAATAATTAGTGTGTTTCATGGTTAAAAAGTTATGGATCATTCAAATCTGTGATCTTTTTGAAAGAAAGGAAAACATTACACCTACTTATCAAAAGCTATGGCCATAATTATCTGGCATTTCTCTGTAAAAAGATTTCAACCATGCTTTTTTTTTTCTTCCTAGAGGTGTTATTATGTATGGTATTGTTGTTGGAAGACTACCATTCAGGTAAGAGCAGGGGAGGAAGGGGGGGCGGGGGCAATGGTTTGGGAAAATTCCCTTGGTAGGAGCAATTTAACTGAAGAAATTACTATTTGCACATCCTGAATCTGCCCATCCCCCTCACTAAACAATAAATTATGTAGAAAATCTAACTTACAGAGTTCTTGCCTGAAGACAAAAGAGGATTTCGTTTGCCGGCTCGTGTTTTGTTTTAAATGTGGAGCGCACTGAACCTTGAAATGAGTACAAAACACGGATAATTAGGTAACTATTTCAAGCAAAAAGCAAGTAATCGATTAAAAGGAGCAAAATCACCGACAATGCAACTGATTTCACATGGAAGGACTTAGAGACTTACCTAACTATGACAGAGATACCCAATGGAGATCATCCTCTGCAAGGCGTTCCAAAACGTTCGCGGAGGACTGGAAGAAGTTTTGATGACATGCACCTTCCTCCGCTTTTTCCCGCGTAAACGCGCGAAAGGACTTTGTATGTGGGTCCTGCAAGCTGTCCCCTTTCTTTCAATGTTTTTTTTGGATATCTTTCCTATACGGCACTGATCTCCCTCGCGTAGTCCAGGGGGTTTATTGACTAGAGGGCAAGGATGACTTTGTTACGATCCTGTGCCGCTTGAAATTGGAAAATTCGGTCGTTGCGATGTTTGAGAAGTTCAATTCAAGGGAGAAGAGAAAATGTCCCAGGCTGTTTGTCAACGGACTGAGGAAAAATAGCAAAAATTGGTACCCTCCTTTTTCGAAAATGAAAGGCGCGATCCGTAAATCTATTGCGATCTTAATCGTGACCTGCTATGTCCTAAGATTAATTTTCTCTGGTCATCTATTGGAGTCTTCTGCGAACACGTTATACACGAAAACACCGCCGAATTTCCATTGGTTTCTCCAGGTTGTCATAATCCAGAATCTTTTTCTTATTACTGGTTATCCCTGGGTAAAATTCGGCGAAAAGTTTTGTGTTTCTTTCTTGTTACGTCTGTTTGTTTGTTTGTTTGTTGAACGATGCCCGATTCCTTAACATAACATCTCTACCGAAAAGCATGTTAAACATCTCTTAAGCTATCCAAGCCCGCCCATTCCCCCCACCCCCCCCCACCCCCGGGCATTGGACGGGCAATTTTACAGGTTGTCGGTCCCCACCAAAGGGCATCTGATCGCAAAGGGCAGCCCGGGGTGACGCATTTGACAAGTTAGTCAAAAACAAAGAATTATACATCAGAACTTAGTAAAAACGGAAGCCTGTTTTATTAAACATCAAAGAAATCTAGTTTTCATGCTACCCCAAGGGTTGGGCATTTGCGCTGTTCTCACCGTTGGGATTTTTGTATGGACCAGCTCTCCCACGATGAGGCATGTGCCACCTTATGAGAAAAAATTCCAAATGCCTGTCCATTGCCCGGGGGGATGGGCGGGCTTGGAATTGACATAGCCATAAATAAATCGTTGAGACCAGTACCACAGTGTGTCTTTAACAAATTGACGTCAGTTTTTTTATGCGTCTGTCCTCTTATTGATGATAAATTGCGTCATAACATTGTCAAAGTGGCTGTGGAACCACGAGCCGCGGCCGAGTGGTTCCGCAGTAAACTTTGACAATGTTATGACGAAATTTATCATCAATAAGAGAACAGACGCATAAAAAACTGACGTCAATTTGTTTTTTACAATAACAAGACCCCAAAATGGTCAAATGCCGGGAATAAATGAGGGGAAAAGACGCCGTAAACTTGCCGTAAACAAAGATAAGTGAATTTTATTCAAAATGACGCGAACATTGTCAATAGCTTTTCTCGCTTTTTGATTGGTTACTTAAAAGAAGTCAATAAAATCTCATCGGTTAAAAAGGTGACAGTTTGACAGTTGAAAGTTGAACTTGAAAGCTTGCATAAATTAAAATTTTATCCGTATGTACTCTTATTGATGATAAAAATGAGCCAATCAGCGCGCGTGAAATTAGACAGTTATTGTAAAATAAACTCTCAACAGAAGACGACCACCTTCTAGCAATAACCGCTGATTGATTTTCTTTCCAGAAGTCCTCATTATGGCAGCAGAGGTCGCAGTGACTTAGTGGATCAAACTTCTCGCGGGCTCAGTAGCACCCATAACAAATACTTAGTCCTTCTAACTCCTCGTAAGTGTAACTCGAAATTTTATCTGGCATGCATGTTCCCTTGTTCTGATCATTTGGTAGGTCGATGAGATAACATCTTCAAATGAGAGTTATTTGTAAAATACAGCCGTTCACGCTTGCGGAGGCTATTTCTACCATTTTAAATTCAATACCACATTTAGCACATAATCTGGGACAAGATAAATGACAGTTCTGTTGTATACTAGAGGATAACCACAAAATTTTGTTTCGCTGATGTGTTAAGTGTTCTGTCAATTTAAACTGCAATATAAAGTGCTGGGTTGGTTGATTTTGTGGCGAAAACGAAGTAGGATTTTAATTACAGCGGGTGTTTTTTTCTTGTTTTTGTTTTTTTTGTTTTTTTGGATAAACTGTAATACAAGGACCACTTGTACAAACAGCAGCGAAGTGAAGCCGGATCTTCGTTTAGCTTCCTTTAATACTTTAACTTACTTTTTCTATTTCGTATATAAGCTCGCGCAATTCCTGCCACGCCCGTTCTACAATAAGCCCTTCTTAACCTTTCAGACGTTTGAGTGTTAAATAACAACCTTCGACATACCACGGTCCCACACCTGCATGCGCTATTGTTCCCTGAAGTCGCTGACTTCGCCTAACTAATCAACAGATTGTCGTGACTTGCTGAGAAAACTGCTGGAGCCCAATCCCCAGATGCGCTTGCCTCTTCTGGATGTGATGGTCCACCCCTGGGTAACTGTCCAAGGGACTGTACCATTGGTTCCGTACAATGAACCACGCAACGACGAGCAACTCTGGGATAAGGTACAGAGCTATGCAGTAAAATTGGATGGAGGTTTAAACAGCCATTATACTGAAGAAAGTCTGAAAGTTGGCTACATTTTATAACACAAAACTGTTAGAAAAAGAAGCCCTATTTAATCACAGAGCCCATCATTTCACTGCACCTGCAGAAAGAGTCCTTAACTTAAGTCAAGCACAGGAAAAGAAAACCTGCGCGTGAGGATTGAAATCTGATTGGAGGAATAAACTTCATCCAAATTCTGATTGGTTAGAACACGGCACACGAGGTTTTCGAGCCCGTTATAGCTCTCAGCGGTAGAGCACAACCAAAGTAAATTCCTAAAGCCATAAGTGCATAAGTTAATTGGCTTTCTATCATACCCGTACTAGGTTTTGGGGAAAACGTCACAACTCATCAACATCGATAAAGCCAAGATCGCCTTCCACGTCCAACAGAAAAGATACGACGCTATATCAGGAGTCTATAATCTCCTCTTGGATGAGGAACTGAAGAGTTTGTCCCGATCAAACGACAACAGTAGCAGAATACAAGCAACTAGTGGCCAGGAAGGTTCTGTCATTCGGGTGTCGGTTAAATTTACTTCAAGTGATGGAAAGGAAGATGATGCCCAGGGTCCCGAAAGTCAGAGCGCGACCAGCAATGACAGTCAGGACTCCCCTACCGAGCAGGACTGGGAGCAAGCCCCCACGCGGAAACACGTGATAGTCCCCAAACCAAAGTAAGTTGTGTTTTAAAAAGATACGGTAAAATTCATAGCAGCTTTACTGGTGTAAATCCAATGGCACGGATCATAATTACTTTTAGACTTTGTCATCTAATCAACACATATAATCAAAATGATAACAAAATTCTCGAATCTGATTGGTCAGGAACGGGTAAGTCATGCTGGATTAACTTCACAGTACGCTTCAATCAACCACCCTGTAAACAGGACAGTTCCAACTGAATGGGTTCCTTTTCTTATGGAGAAAATTAGGCACGATCTTTCTATTGATCACCAAGTTTATCAGATCGTCATTCCCCACAAATTCTGTTATAAAACTTTATAATCAACTGATAGAAGGAACTGATCTTGTCCAAATCACATAATTTACAGATCTCACTTCAGCTCCGTAGTTGTCTCATTTTGCTAATTGCGACTATGAATACCAACTAAATTTTAACTCTACTCAGTCCTAATGTCCACAAAGATTATAAATAATTCACTTTAGACACCAGAAGCAATCTGGGGCGAGTCTCATCCCGCAGTCACTTGTGGGATCAATAACGGGGACAGTACAGCTCCTCGCCGGGAGCCCCTCGTTTTTTGTTTAGTTCCCAGTAACGCTCTCACAAGCCACTGCCAGACGAGGCTTGTACTAGGTTTCTCCTCGTTCTAAAGTGGCAAATAACGGCATAACCACATTTAACACAGAATTCCACGGTTGTGACCTGCTGTAAATGATACAATACATTCCACGGTTGAAAACACCTCGTGTAATAAATCAACTCAACATAATATGATCATGTATAATCTCTTGATCAACTATTAATTTTTTCCGACTCTCTTCTGCTTTCTTCTTCAGTGAACACAATGCTTTTGAACAACCGTTGGAGGTAAATGTCGTAGAGTAGACAACTTAGAGTTTTTTGCGGTTACATTTGTACTTTCTTCCCAGCTAATCGATACTCCGCCGATGCTGAAAGAGGAAAGAAGCAACAAGCGAGATAGCAACTGTCGGCGTTTGTTTTGTTTTTGTTGGAAGTTGAAGGAGACGGAGGAGTTTGTGGGGAGGTTTGGAGGTTGAAGGAGGTGGAGGGACGTAGGGGATTGTGGGGTGGGTGGGGAGGTGGTAAGAGGTGAGGCGAGATGGGGGGGGGGGGTGAAAGGAATTGGGGCGGTCTGATTCTAACTATCCAATCAGAAACGGCAAAAGTGTTTAGCTTTGTCACATCATCAGGATATGTTTTATTGGTTATCAACAGCGTCCAAAAAAAACTGCGGGCTCAATCCTGGAAGAAAATCTCTTTCTTGTGTTTATCTTTTTAGCGCTTATCACACTTATTACACTGAAACAATTTTTATCTTATTTTCCCCAGGCTCTAAGGATCAGAGGACTCAGGATCTGTACCAGAGCAACCCGGTCCAACAAGAAACAGCCCCAGGAACAGCCTCATTCCAGAACGCGACCAAACACCGCAATTTCGCAGAGGGCACCTGAGAAAACGCCGCCTTCTCCAAAACGAAACGTGGTTGCCTCTCGCGCCTGGCAAAGGACAGGTAAAACAAGATGCAAGTCGTGTTTCCCGCGTTTTGCACCCAGTTTTGACAGTGAGCTCCAAGGAACGCGAGTCGTGATGTCCCCACGAGTAAGGCAAGATCCGGCACTACTGGCATCTCAGTGGGAAGCGAAAATGAAAGCTTTGGCCTCAGAGAGCGGCGAAGGTAGTGTAGGACATTCCAAGCAGGGTGTCAACACTGGCCCTGATATTGCAGGGGATAATTGCAAGAAGTCGGCAACCGCTGTTGACGTTGACGTTCCAATTGTTAAATCCGACGCGAGCCTCGATCAAGAACCTAACATGGGAAATTGGAAACCCTTGGAATGCACCTACGCTAGAAGTTGTACTTCGACTGGTACCTCTGAGGTGAAACAAACCTCCGCGTCAAATAAACCGGAGGGCAACAAAACTGCGCAGACGCTACAAGAAAACCAAAAGTTTGTTTCCTCTAGAGGCTCAGTTAGATCCCACAAGACTGGGGCTAAAATTTCTCCGTCCTCACTGGCCGCACAATACGTTCACAGAGCCGTGTCGCCTTTGAAGGCGAGTCAGTTTGTTGATCTTGCCGATTACCACAAATATATGCCGCAGCCACCAAAATCGCGCATTGCAACACCGGATGCTCCTTCAAGGCTGGCGGTTAAAGGCAACAAAACCGAAGGAACGGTTGACAGGTAAACTGGTGTATTCTATGTTATTTTTCTTGTCACGGAAAAGGAAAATCGCATTTGATGACCTTTGACCAATCAAGGTGAAGATACTTTCTCTAACCTTAGTTGGGGGTGGCTAGCGCCATTTTTCGCGCTCTTTTGACCAGCTGGACGTTCTTTTTCTTGAAATAAAGAGAAAATTTGCTGTAAAAGACCACGTTCGATATATCAATATTCTAACATGGCTCCGAGGATTTCAGGATAAACTTCTGTAGCTAGTGTTGTTTTCTTTGTATCCAAGTCTCTAATGGGAATTGAAAGACAAAAGAAACTGAAAAAAATTACAGTTTTGACCCGAAAGCCTTGGAGCCATGTTAAAATATTGCTATATCGAACATGGCCTATTGGTTAGGACAAAAAAGATTAACCCTCTTGGTTTTATAATTAATAAACCAGGTAAACCAACTGCATATTCCTGTTATAGCAACAACGACCCCCGCTAATGACGGGGTGGATAATTTTTTCTGAATGATGATGATGATTAAACTAGCTGCCTCGTCCAACGTCGCCCGCGCGATAGCAAAGAAAATATATAATAATTAACTAGTGAGGAGGGGCGCAGGGAATCTAGGAAGGAAAGGAAACTCTAATAATAAACCGGTTGGGATGACCGTTGTATAATGGTAAGGGTTTTTCCAAAATCAACAAACCAACCGAACGAGATGGCGCTTACCATTTGCAATTCGATTTCTCGTAATTGTTTTGGGCTGATGCGAGACTGGAAACTGGAAAATTTACCAAATGGTAAGGAAATTTCCGCCGTTCCGTTCCGAATGGAAAAATAGGACTACCTCTGAAGGTAGTCTACAATTTCCGAACAGATTTTCCGGAAAATTACTGTTCCATTTGACTTTCAACCGAAATTTCCGGATTTTTTTGCTAAATGGTAAGCACCCTCTGTCTCCCAATCACTCTTTACGCTAAGAAAAAAAACAAAAGCCTGTAGACGAGGCAGTTCAGGTGGCTGAACTATAAGAGGAGATGAAGAGTAAGCGAGTTTATCCCCTATACGAATCTTATTCCTAAGGTCATCTCTCTTGAGTTATTTTTAGATCACTTCCGGCTTCAGAACTCCCGGGAGAACCTTGAAATAGCCAATCCTGTGAAATGAATTTTGGTGGACAGTTCAGGCGCCTTACACGCAATTCCATCCTCCACGAAACGCGCGTGGTAACATTATTAAGTACCAGGTCTAAAAATAACTCGAGAGAGATTACCTTGCGAATAAGACCTATACGAAGGATAAACTCTTTTTCCCTTTCATCCTCTGCTACTGCATTATAAAGGCGCTTGTTCGACTAAAAAAACAAGGTCCGCAATGCGTACTTGTGAGCTTATGCTTAGTTTGATTCTATTCGATTGGAGTGTTGATTTTAAATGTCTGGGAGTTGAATTGCTACAAGTTAGAAGGAAATCACTAGAAAGATAAAGGTGTAGAAATACGTGACTCAAGTGATTGACGAGTTTAACATCATAAGTGACAAATCACTTTTAATTTTGGCGCGAAATTTCAGCGTTAATTTATAATTTCACTTGTGAAATTACAAAATTGCTATGGCAACGTTTAGCGCGAGATGTCTCTACACAATAAAAAAGTCAAAAACCCAAAATTGTACGCGTAATTTGTCACCTATGATATTTAAAGGTAATCAGCTGATATACTCGTAAAATTAAGTAATCATTTCACTTGCGTTTTGTCTCATGCTTATTTGCAGTTTCTCTGCTGCATACCAGTCTTTCGTGAAGACCAAGAAACCGCAACACCTCCGCCTGTCGATAATGCAGGCGCAAGAAATTCTTCAGCACGAGTCCAAGTTTTACGCCAAATATGGTAGAAGACTGAGCACTGACGTGAGCACCAATAACGTGAGTAACGCTGACTCGGACAAACAGACCGAAAATCAGGCGTCACGCTTCAGTCACGCAAGCACCGGGACGTCTCCAAAGGCAGTTCAAAGCAGAGCAACAGTGCAACAGCTTAGCATTGCTAAAACGGGTCACGTTAAAGGGGTAGGCTTAAAAAGAGATCAAAGGGAATCGATTGTTTGCGATGTCAAACGTGAGGAAAATATTGAAAAACGAGATTATACGAGTCACGATCAACTACTCGCACCCGCTGTACTCGCACCATATCCGTCGCCTGCACGACGACACGACGACAACCCGACCGATGCCGATCTCGATGCGGTTGAAAGTAGACAAAAGGGCCGAAGTTGTATCAACGAAGGAAGCCGAGTAATCGAGGCTCGACTGCAACCGAAGCAGGAAGAATCGCTAAAAAGACAGAAAGAGAAAGAACAAACAGAAAACCACGAGAGAGAAAGAGTCAAGTTTCTCAAAGAACTGGAAGATAAAGAGCGTCAAAAGATTATCACAGAATACCTACACCACGTGTATTCACATCACGGACAAACACAACCTCAGACTGCTTATAAGAAAGGTGAACACGACACACGCCCCTATAAGGTGTCCAAACAGGGGCGTGTCTATTCCATGAGCACTCGACCACAAGAGGAACCTAGTCCTGATGTACCCCACTTGATCACAAGCCCCGCGCCCATCTGGCACCAGACTGCTCGGGGTTCGCAGGGAGACAAGAAAATCTCTTTCAGGGCAAAACAAGGGGTTACTGGCACCAATGGGGTACGATTCTTTAACGAGTGGAATAACAGTCTGTTTACAGATTATATTAACAGTTCAGATGGGAAAGCGAAAATGGGAAAAGAAAAGGACAAACTACAGGTAAAAACAATTCTTTTATGTAGGCGACTCTTTTGCCAGCGTAGTAGGTGACCGCTTTCGACATATTAAAATTGAGCTTGATACTGAGGCCTAGAAGACACAAACAAAAGAAATGAATAAATATGTCATTCAATTCCCTTTGTTTGTGTCCTCCTAAGCCTCTCTGCCAAGCTGAATTACAGTCTATTCGAAAGAATAGGTTTGAGAACAGACTACTACCCAGTCGCTATTTATGGGTCAGATTGGATTGTTTCAAAGAGAAAGCCGTCTGGATCGAGTGGAGCGCGTGGGGAGGTATGGGAAGAGGTACAAAAATTAGCGATCCAACCCATGACGCTCCGCGAGCCTTTATTCAACCTAGTATCCAATCTTCTCTCCCCCAAAACACCTAAAGCGACTGGATACTAGTCTGGTTTGAGAAGGAGCGTGAATTGGGAAAGAGAGCACAAACAGGGAGGGGCCTGGGTTTCGTTCTAATTGTTTGGATGTTTAGATAAAACGTTTGAAAACAGTACTTCATCTTTGTTTTTGTTTTCGAAGGACCCAAGTTACTGGATTGAACAACACCTTGACGGAGTCCTGGACGAGACATCGGTCAGAAGAGGTCTACAGCACCATCAGCAACTTATACCAAGGGAAACTTGACCGATGTTACATGACGTAGTGCTTAAAACTGTTTTTACTCGCATTAGTGGGGTTAAAGACCAATGTTTTACATCGGAAAGACTTTAAATTTCTCACGAATTCAAAGACTTTTCTAAAACAGTATATGATCGTCCGAGATCGATTTTCTAACTTTTTTAAAAATGTTGAAAATAGTTTTCTCACCAAGAAAACTAAAATGTTAAGCTATATTGAATGAAACAACAAAGTAGAGTATTTTTTTTTAACGGAGACTTGTAGAATAATAAGAATTAATCCACAAAATGAAACAAGTTTTAAAGAGTCACTCATTAAATACAATAATCCAACATCTTTATTCAATTTCTTCAAACCCAATACAACCTCTAAGTTCAAAATGGTATGTTTTGTATTTGAGAGTAAAAATAAATTACTAGCATATATACACGAATTTTAATTTGTCATAACTGCGTTTATATAATCCTTGAAAAGTTTTCTTTCGTCTTGAAACAAGAGAGGCTGAACGAGATGAGGTTCAATCCCAGTACAGGCGTTATTCTCGAGGAAATCCCTCTTGAGTCTCTTTTCGACATGGTACCTAGTCCTCCCGCGGTAATGTTACCACGCGCGTTGCGTGGATGTTTCCGCTTGGGCTGTCCACGTGAGTAAATCCACGTCACATGATTAGCTATTTCTAGATCCTTCTGGGATTTCTGAAGCCTAAAGTGATCTAAAAATAACTTGAGAGGGATTACCTCGGGAATAAGACCCTGTATGGAGGATTGGCTCTTACTCTTCATCCTCTTTCATTTGAAAAGATTCCCCGTTTGTAAACGCAACTCTCTTTGTTTGTTCTAACGAATAATTTGGGTAATGAGCCCTGGGGCTTGCACTTATTCAAAGGTCTTTTTGGGCGGTTTAGAACAGATATTGATGGTTCGGAAAATGTTTGAAAGGAATGTCGTGCCCGGAAAATTGTAGATGGGTACAAGAATACCGAGCGGTAAAACTTCCTAAACACAAAGACACGAACTC